TTGTCTTTTTTGGGGGGTGTTTGTGAACCCATTTTTGCCTGCGAAGACCCGTTGTCCCACAATGTCGTAATTCATCTGGCTGAAGTTCATGTATGCTTGAGTGAGTCATTAGTTTTAGACTGAAATGGCCTACATGTCTTTGTTTATAATAGTTTTCATTCTATGTCTTATCTCATAGTGTCCTCTCTTACCAAGTAGAATTGTGTTTACTGCTGTTCAGGAGTACGCTACTCGGACACCCTCAAAAGAATGCAAACAGTGTTACAGTGCAATGTACCAGTCGGCACAGTCCCTTTTAAAGTTAAAAGGCTTGCTAAATATTAATGAACTTTATATCCATTACAGTCATATTTGTTTACTCTGCTGACTTTTTTTCCTCTGTGGTTTGATAGGTAGTTAATCCTTATTACTTGCGAGTGCGGAGGAAAAACCCAGTCACTGGAGTACATACAAAGATGAGCCTCCAGCTCTACCAGGTGGACAGCAGAACCTATTTACTAGACTTCAGGAGCATAGACGGTAAAATTGTCACTCTGTGTGTGGTTTTATTCAATGCTTTAAATGTTTTTTTTAATTTTCTTTAATGCTTTAATTTATGATAAGTAATTTAAAAATATAAAAATGTATACATAATCCATATGAGAATATGAACTGCACAGAGTGGTTACTAAAGAAATTTGACTGTTGAACTGAATGCAAATATAATTTTCAGGATGTCCAAACTGTTGCTATGTTATTCATTACTTAAGTCTTGTGAGACTGTGATGGTGTAGTTTTTCATTTGACAACATGTACAAATACACATTGAGTTTTGTAATCAATGGTTTTTTATAAAAAATTAATGTAACTTAACCACATTTTTTGTTGTATATGTGTATATTCTTAATTGTTAGGTAACACTTTAGATTAGGGAACAAGCATTCACTATTAACGAAGAGTTTTCTCTGAACAAACTCCTAAATTTGCTGCTTTTTAATAGTTAGTAAGGTAGTTGTTAAGTTTATATATGGTAGGATTAAGGCATATAGAATGTGGTCATGCAGAATAAGGCATGAATATGTGCTTTATAAGTACTAATAAACAGTCAACATGCTAGTAATATGCATGCTAAAAAGCAACTAATTAATAGTTAGAATTGGTCCTTAAAATAAAGTGTTACCAATTGTTATATAATTTCTGCTAAAATCTCAAATATTGTTTTATCAAATGTACTAAAATGAACTATAATCATTCCAGAAAAGGAATCATAACCAAAATTATTTAGTTCCCTATGATTCTCATTCCTATTGCGGAGTGTTCTTGAGAGCGTTTTCTGTATACTTCACTCTTTGAGGTCTTATGTTCTGTTTCATTCAGATGACATGATAGAAGTAAAATCAGGGACCGCCACACCTCACCGCTCCGGCTCAGTTGGTAACTACCGGACTACCCTAAAGAACGATAGGAACGAGAAAAACGAATGTGAGGATGCAGCAAAGGGTGACACGTCCGCACCCTCCACGCCTCCAATATCCGGAGGGAGAGCGGCGGAAGGCTCTCTGGCTTCTTCTCTTACCTCCTCAGTGGACTCCACAGGGGGAGAGATCCTCCCCCGCCCAGGAAGTCACACCATAGAGTTCTTTGAGATGTGCGCCAACCTCATCAAGCTGCTAGCACGATAACTTGTGGTTCCTCTGATGCCTTCTCTCTCACTCTCTGGCTTGTTTTCTCTTTCTTCTAGAATACTGTCTACCTCTTCATCCTCTGATATCTGTGTCATCATGCACAGCAGTCCTTTTTTTTTGTCTCTTTTTTTTTTCTCTCTCTCAGTGTCTTTAGAGCAATAAGCATGCGGACGGACTCAAGACTCCATGCATCCCACTCGCATGAACAAGCTGAATGGTCTGTGGCACTACCAGGATGAGCCTGTTTAAGAGGACTGAGAAAAGGTACAAGAAGGAAAAGGATGGAGGTTTTGTGTCTGTGTGCCACAGTTAAGATATCAGAAAGATTGCTAAGCCACTTAATAGTATCTAAACTCTTTTAGATATGGCTTTACAATTCTTTTCTGGGTTTTATGGCAAGGATTTCCTTGCAGAGAGTGAGGCGTAGAGGTGCATTTAAATGAGTTATACACTGAGCTAGCTGTATTGTACACAATGCTGTTGCGATTCTTGGCGGACCAAGAAAGAAAGAAAGAAAGAGCCCTTATGAGGCATGTGGGACGACAAGTAAGATAGAAAGCGCTTTTGCACAGTTTTACCTGTAAGTTTTTGTGGGCCAGTGTCAGAACTGGTTATCCCATTGAAGCGGCCTACTGGGAAGAGCACTCGATTAGGAGGAGCCATCTTAAAAAGCAGGGCCAATTTAATATGGTGGGCACTTTAACACAAAGGGACAACTTGATACGTCAGCCTTTCTTAAGGAAGAGACCAATATGAAACCCGTTTATCCTGAGGGAGTGCAATGTCCTTGCCTCTGTTTCATAGATTTTTGTTTGTTTGTTTGTCACACCTTAGTCTTTTTTTTTCTATTTGCTCACATTTTACATAAATTTAAGTATACAGAATTTAAACATGCATTTGGATTTATATTTATCAGTGCTTTAAATGGGGTTGTAGATTGTATTAAAATTGTGATACTGGACTAAATTTTTTTTAAAGAAATGTTTGATTATATTGCTGTAAGATGTTGTATTCCATACACTGCTTTATCAAAAAAAAAAAATTTGTAACTATTATTTTAGTTGTTTTGAAAAAAAAAAGTACTCCTTAAAGAAAGAAATCAAATGTTTCTGTATTCCCTCCACTTTTACAAATTAAGTTTCTGTAATCAGACAGGCCCAGTATTACAACTGAATTTAGATTTTTTTTTTTTTTTGAGATGTGTATCTGTGAAAACTAAAAAAAACAAAAACATCTGAGGTGTCAAGTAAAGTTTATCACCACACTGAAAATGAAAGAAAAAAAAGATAACATTAGAGTTGAAATATTGGCGCATACTGATAGACGTCCTGAGCAAATCATGTAGTCATGTCTTATTCCTGTGTTTGCAAAGCCAATGTGGAGTCATAATCGTAAGATCTGAAAATAGGAAAGTGCTTCCTACTTGCATGTGACTTTATGTGCCTTTGTATGAGACTGTGTAGTAAACGAAATTCTACAAAAGTCCACAAAGAAAAGAACCACAACCTGTTAACACAGAGTGAAATTATTTGATATAGGAGCTTACTGACAGGAGTGATCCTCTTCTTCAGATCAGTTTTTTTCAACTTGTGTTTCACAGATGAAAATGAAAACAATATGGGTTTTAAATAAGTTGCTCTTGTTCATTTGCCTGTCCAGAGCTCCAGCTATGTTCAAATTAAATCCCAAATTCAATGCTAAAAAAAGCTAAAATAAATAGTTTTAAATAATAAATTCATTCTATGGTTTGTATGGCATAGCTTATTTACATTTTAAAGTCTGAATGTCTTAACGCACATTCTTACCGCATAAAAGAAATAACTTTATTAGTCCTGATAAATGCAGTAGTTTCAAATTCTCAAAAAGAAAAGGAGATTTAAGGCCAGTAATTCTGGTTTGACCTTTTGGAATTCTTTAGTCTTTGTTACATGTTAAGGTTTAGTTTCCTAAAAAGGATGATGTTGATTTTGTTCTAAACTGCACTAATTTCAGAGCTAAAACTTGACAATCTATGCTTTGCATGTCAGCTTAAGACAAATCCAGAGAAATTGTTTTGCTCTGTCCCCTTTACCTTTCTTTTTTTTAAAGTTTATTTCCCTGTGTAGTTGTCTAATTCAAATGTTAACTCTTCTTTATCACTATGGAACAATTTCAGTGTCTCCACAGGCTGTTTATTCAGCCATCGAAAACAAGTTTAGAAAATATGTTTATGCTCTTCTCTTAACTGCATTTATGTTGATTATTTTTGCAGAGATGCACCTCATGGAGGCTTGCCAATGTAAATTTACAGATAATTACCAATAATTTAGTTGAAAAGATGATTTGTAAATACAACTGCCTAATAAAATGATTCATGAAGACTGATGGTTTTGTGACTTCTTTTGAAAACATGGTGTATGTTGTGTGACTATATATTTAAAGAAATGTTTGATCACTGTTTGATATCTTCAAATTTTATTCAAAAAATAAACACATGAAAAGGCATGTATAGGCAAAAACAATTATTTATATTTTTTATTCACCAATCAGTTTTTATGTTTCAGGCTATTTTTAACCAAACTTTGTAAAAAGATGATTCTCAACTATGTTATTAAAGATAAAACAGAATGATTTGATGTACTATCTTACTTTATGCAATATGTGGGTACAATTTCCATAAATTAATATTCCTATTTTATTCAATGTATCTATACACTGCATCTAATTTGCATATTAATGTGTTCTTGGTGCAAACCATAATGGAAAAAAATAAGTGTTATAATGGGAGTAATAACTTGGCAACATTTTCATAAAAAATATATTTCATAGGAATATTGATATATAATTTCTGTCCCTATTAACTTGTGTCTCCTCAAAATGCATGATTAACATGCCGTTTGTCCTGGTGTCCTCTACAAAAGACATATATGAAAGTTATGCCTTGTTTCGTAACGAAGTCATATTCCGATTTGAAACCCCATAACATTTTCCTGAGATGTTTATTTACGACAAACAATTTGAAAATTAACCAGATTTAAATAATTACAAAATATTATCATATTTCCCTAAGAGTGCTGAATTTGATCATTCTGTCAATATCAGTCATTTTTAAAGGAGGTGTGTTTATGATCAAACCTCCAAACATTTGATATCTCTAAAAAGCCCTGAATGTGCTCATCCAGACTTAAAACTGTCATGTATAGTCTCAGAGAAATTAACTAAAATAGTCAAAGTCTATAAATTCACTAAAAGTCTATGCCTGGGTTGTTGGGTTGTTATATGTGCCTATCCTACCCACAGAAGGTTAATGTGTGTTTAAAACAAACTATCCTGCACAATAACCTTGGAAATGATCAATAGCTTTTCTGTAGACTTTTGTAGACCTTAAGATACGTCTATACAGTAATAGTCTTTCTAAACAAACCCACTCTCATTCACTAAAGTAAAATGAAGGCGGTCTACCCTATGTGTAGGACTATTATTTATTGTTTATCTTCTAATTCACAGATATTTGTACTTTAGAAAATAACCAGCAGATGTCGCTTTAATCTTGAAGACATTTGTCATTTGAGTTAACTAAAGTTTTGATATAACTTTCTTTTCTGATTTCTAAATTCTTAAATTTTGTGTAGGATGTACAGTATTAAGCGACATTTTAATAATTTTGTTAAATAAAAAATGCTATTTTTAAATCTAATTTATATTTATACATACCACATATAAATATATACCATATAATAATACATGTGGTTATTTTACATTTAAATAGTAAGTACGAGGTAGTGCGCTATTCCGAACTCAAGCTGATAGACCTCTGCTGCATACCTGCCGTAATGCGTCATGGCGTAAGCAGCAACTCTTCCATACGCATATACAGAGCAGCATGGTAAAGTTACCCCAGGACTGGCTGTTTACGCTAAGCATTCAAAACGGGAGCACTGTTTCAAGATAAACAAAAGTGTTCAGTTGTAAATGCAGAAGAAACTCTGAGCAGTGTTCGTATTCATTTCGGAAGCTGCGCTTCGCTCTGGTATGTAAACAACGGACTCACCTGCACTAGTGCGGACGGGATATGTTTTTGGAAGTTATTCATTGCATTATTTAGTCGTTTCTTTAGGCAGTCTAACAATATTGCTGCAGACATGACGTTTTTGAGGGTTTAAATGTATGTAAATATCATTAATGCTTCGAAATATTATTTTAAAATATCCCAAGGCAAAGTAGAGTAATTAGTGCTACCAAAATAGAAAGTATTAGTTATTGCACTCTCTATTTAAGTTAGGTTTACATGAATGAAAAATGACTGGTATTAGCTCTGGGCTCTGTGGTACAGCTAGTCTCAAATCAGTGTATAATCCAGTGAGCCTAAAATATACTGGTCTGTACCAGGAGCAGATTATGTCCATTATTGCACAAATACATATTTTTCCCCTTAAAGAATGCAATATCCAGTAAACCTAACCAGATTGCTTTTCCTTCTTTCATTGCATTTCAACAAAACAACCTTTGTTTGTGTTTAAGGATTACATTTTAGTTGTTTTGCTAGATTTGCAGAATGGACATTTGTTATTTAGTAATCAAGTTCATTTGTAGTCTGTAAAGTAGGCTATGTTTTGTGCAAATTATATGCATATTAGATGCACAAATGATTTATCAAGTAGTTATTTCAGTTCATATTTGTTTTTCAGCAGTCTCTTTCTATGCCAAAAAATGATACAGAACTTCATCACTTTGTTGTTCTCTTTTTCATCAGTCATTTTTTTCCATTCATTTTATTAGTTGTTATTCTCAGGGATAACTTTATGCCCTAAAGCCTTTCATTCTTGTATAATATATACGTGTGTGTTCATGGATCAGTGTGCGTCCATTCGTGCGTGTTGTGTCCATGTGTCCGTGTCCTCTCACTGCCAAGCAATTCAGCTGACACAATGCTTTACCCAAAGCAGGTCTCATGTTTCAGATATCTGTCTGTAGTGACAGTGCAAGCTTCTCCTGTTTTGCAGGGTCTCTCTCATCCTTCATTTCTGTCATAATCAGAAAGAAGTGACATTACATGGTGGACACATATGGTTATGCTAGTTGTTAGTTATAGCTCAGTGTGTCACTGAGCTATAACTCCTGCTTGCAGCTGCAGCAACTGTAAAAACTATGCATCAAAGGGACAGTTTGCCCAAAATTGAATATACAGTGGGTACGGAAAGTATTCAGACCCCCTTAAATTTTTCACTCTTTGTTATATTGCAGCCATTTGCTAAAATCATTTAAGTTAATTTTTTTTCCTCATTAATGTACACACAGCACCCCATATTGACAGAAAAACACAGAATTGTTGATTAATAGTTACTGTTAATATAATTATCGTTATATACATAAGTTACTCACTCTCATGCCATTCCATACCCCTATGACAATTTTTTCCATGTATCACAAAAGGATAAATTTAAAGTAATGTAATAATAATAATAATAATACAACTTTATTGTCAACCCTAATGGTTGAAAATTATCTTTGACCATACCATTGACATCAGACATACATAACATTAAAACCACACGAATTTCAAAAAGACGTATCAGATCGTTCCACCTTAGTGTTTTGATTCAGATACCCAATTACTGCAGGCATAAATGAATTCTTATAGATGTTTCTCTCTGCCCTGGGCATTAAATAGCGCCTTCTGGAAGGCAATACGACAAACTGATCATTTAAAGGATGAGTAGCATCTTTCAGAATGCACTCAGCTTTCCCAACACATCTTAAAATTCACACCTGGTTCAAGGTTCTCTGTGGCTTACCAATGACCTTGCTCGCTATATTGATGACTCTAGTTAATGTATTTTTCTGTTTACAGTTCAAGTGCCCATACCAGGATGTTATATTATAGGTCAGCACACTTTCCACCAAGGACATGTAAACGATCTCCAGAATGTTCTGGCTCACACCAAAACTTCTAAGCTTCTGTATTAAAAACAGACGTTGCATACATTTCTTAAAAATATAATTAGTATTATCCTGGAAACTCAGCTTACTAAGGTACTTAAAGTGAT